AAAATAGGAAGAGAGGGAGCGAGGAGAAGGGAGTGAGGAAGGCAGTTCCAGAGCCTCGGGACAGAGTGGCTGAAGGCACGGCCGCCGAGGGTGGAGCGGAGGACTCGGGGGAGGAGGAGGAGGCCAGACCTGCAGGAACGAAGGCAACGGGTACTGTTTTGAGGAGAGAGGTCAGAGAGGAAGGGGGGTGCAGAGGAGTGCAGGGACTTGAATACAACGGTGAGGATCTTGAAGTTGATCTTTTGTGGGATAGGCAGCCAGTGCAGTCTGGCAAGGACTGGGGTGATCGGGGAGCGGAGTTTGGTGCTGTTCACTCCCTCCGTTCATCGAGCTCCAGTCTGCTCCGTGTCTCCCGCCCGACCCGCCCTACCATCGGTGTCCGGGCTTTCAGCCTCTCTGCCCCCACACTCTGGAACTCCATCCCACGGTCCCTTGGCCTCGCTTCCTCCCTTGTCTCCTTCAAGACCCGTCTCAAGACCCTTCTCTTCGACCGTGCCTTTGGTCTCCCTCCCACCTCTCTGCCTTCCCTCACCCCTACACCCCCCCTCCCCCAGGCTCAGGCCCCGACACCTGACTGTTCAGCGCTTTGGGACTCAGTCCTCCTAACGTGAAAGGCGCTCTATAAATGTAATTTTGTTGTTGTGTGTGTGTCTCTGTGTATGTGCTGTGTGTGTGTCTCTGTGTGTGTCTCCCTCTTTGTGTCTCTGTGTGTGTCTCTGTGTGTTTCTCTATGTGTGTGTGTCTCAATGTGTGTGTGTGTCTCTATGTGTGTGTGTCTCAATGTGTGTGTGTGTCTCTATGTGTGTGTGTCTCAATGTGTGTGTGTGTCTGTGTCTCTATGTGTGTGTGTGTCTCTATGTGTGTGTGTCTCAATGTGTGTGTGTGTCTGTGTCTCTATGTGTGTGTGTGTCTCAATGTGTGTGTGTCTGTGTCTCTATGTGTGTGTGTGTCTCAATGTGTGTGTGTCTCTGTGTTTGTGTGTGTCTATGTGTGTGTGTATGCGCTTTGTGTGTGTGTCTCTCTGTGTGCGTGTGTCTCTGTGTGTGTGTGTCTGTATGTATCTGTGTGTGTGTATCTCTGTATGTGTGTCTGTGTGTGTGTCTGTGTGTATCTGTGTGTGTGTGTATCTCTGTATGTGTGTCTGTGTGTGTGTGTATCTGTGTGTGTATCTCTGTATGTGTGTCTGTGTGTGTGTATCTGTCTCTGTGTCTGTCTCTGTGTATCTCTCTGTGTGTATCTGTGTGTGTGTGTGTCTGTCTCTCTGTCGCTGACTAAAGGTGCTCGAGCCCAGAAACAAAATATTTTCACAATAGCAAACTGGGTGCAAATTAATTAATTAATCAATCGGCGGGAGAGATATCTTTTTAAATGTTCATGGGTGTGGGGGGTGGGGGGGCGACGTTTAAAAATGTTTTATTTTCTTTTATATTAAATACAAAGGAAACAAAAAGAACTGTCAGAAGTGGGATTCGAACCCACGCCTCCAGAGGAGACTGCGACCTGAACGCAGCGCCTTAGACCGCTCGGCCATCCTGACATGAGGGCTGCTCGCTCGGAGCGGTCTATTTCCCTCGATGTGTCACCATGGTTACCAGGTGCCCTGACGCTGTTGTTGTGACGCAGTACGAACGGAAGCGCTTTCAAATCATCCCGAGCACCGTCATCGCACTCTGCCAGTCAAACGGTCCCCTGAAAGAACGCTGTGTGCACGTGGCGGGGGGGGAGGGGCGGGGTCGGTTATATCACATGGTCTGGGATGTGACGTATTATTATGGACGCTTTAATCAGTAATCCCGGGTTATTTGGCCGCTGCTCTTCGCGGAGCAGATGTGGAATCTCTTCCCGACGCAGCACGTTCACCGGGTGTCAATCACCTGCCATCCGCCGCGCCCATCCCATCCCATCCCATTCAGCGCAGGCCCAGCCCCCGATTGGAGCACAGCAACGAGCTCTCGCTGCGGATTGGCTGAGAGCCGCGTCAATCATTCTTGCCGCAGCCTGAGTGCGTGACGTTCGTCTCTGTGCAGTGACCCGCACTGGGCTGACGTCAGGGCCGTTTTAGCAGCACTCAGCACGTTTCTTACACAGCTGCTCTGGTTTATGTAGGAATAACCGGGTCTTAGTGTTTTGGGGTTTAGGTGGGCTGTGTGACAGGCACGCAAACCGTTTGCTGGAGTAATGCTTTAATTTAATTGGCTGCTGCACTTGGCCCACAAAATATACAGAAAATGCAGGGATTATTATTTATTGCTGAATTTTCGCATTGTCAAAATCATCGCGAACTGGCTCCAGCATAACTCGATGGTGATTACGAATTGCACTGATTGGATTTGCTCCCCAGAGATCCAGCTAAAGCTACCGAGCAGAAATTTCTATCGAGTGTTTTTTTAATGCTATTTAACTAGCAGATCACACAGCCACTCAATGGTACGATTGCAATAAACACACAATATTATTTGCCCGTAAACATTATGTTAAAACTGGCTGATTTCAGGCCAAATTAAACCAGGGTTCCTGGCTTATTTGTTATAGTATAACCACAGAGTGTATAGTATAAAAGTATTAATGAGTGATGAATTTAAACATGAGTTCATATTCTCTGCTGATACGCCAGTGCAGCACTGCATAATCAGTTGTGCCATTTTAACACATGTATGTGTTTTATTGTATGTATGTATGTTTAAGTAGATATTGAAGATGTCTTAAATTCTTCAGGTGTCCTCCAGATGATTTGGTTATTCGCTTCATGGCTGTTTGTGGGACCTTGTAGTTGCAAATTGTTGCTGCGTTTGCCTACAGCAGTATGCACTACAATTGATAATTACGTGTGAAGTGCTTTTCAGATACTTTACAACAAAGCACTCCAAATATTAGTTTTATACCACATTTTAGAAACCTAACATTTATGCAATATTATTAGCATTATTGGTAGGAAGAGGATGAAGATGAGTTAGAGCGAATTGAGGTGGTTATCCATTTGCCAGTAACCTAGAAGAGATGGGACAAATATCTGATCGGATGTATGCTGTAAAGGTACTGAATGTTATGTGAATACAATTGTCCCTCAGTTGCTGAAACCACAGCAATGTAAGTCCTCGGAAGATAACACGTTAAGGGCAAATAAAGTGGATGCAGAATCATAGAAATCTACAGTAGAGAAGGCCATTCACCTCACTGTATCTGCTCGTTCTTTCACCGGCAAAATATAGCTGACTTTTAGGGTAAATCCTGTTAAGCGCTCGGAGTCGCCCAACGTGAAAGGCTCTGAATAAAACGCCGCGCGCGTTTGCTGTGAAGACAGACTGACCCACCGAGCACGTGCGGCTCACATGACGTCACTGCTGCCGAGGCTCGGCTCAAACCCTCGCGATATCTGCCTGCCGCTCGCCCCCCAGGAACGCCATGTTACAGGCGTCGCTTGGCAACAATGGCGTCCTTGACAACGGAGGGTGTGCGGCGCGTGGCTTCTCTCCAGGTAAAGCCGGTGTACCTGCCACCTGCACTGCCAGCAAGTGCTGTACCCATACACACCCACACCCACACCGCAGAGGGGCTCGGCCTTGTGTAAGGAGGGAGGAAGAGGATGAAGGGAAGCGGTGGCGGGGGGGGGGGGGGGGAGGGGTATTCCTCATTCTGGGAGGGTTTCAGTTCTGAATGTTTTAGCCTCACCTTTCTCTCCCCACCAGAAATTAAATGAATGACCAACATTAACATACAGTAATTGAAAAGTACTTTTTTTAAAAAAAGCAATGTTGCTTTGCTCCACTGGGTGAGCTGGCACCAGCTTGGGCACAGCGAGCCAAAAGGCTTCCTCCTCCTCCTCCTCCTCTTCCTGCTGCAGTTTGTACCATTCCATGGCTGGGCAGGTGAATGCTGGTTTCTGTTTGCTCAATTGGTTTGTGATAAATGGGGGCATTCTTGGAACTATGTTTAAAACAAATATCATTGTAAAGAAAGCAAAAGGTCATTGCTAACCTCAGATGGAACAACTGTAGATCAATGTGACATTTGGCAGAGGGTCAAGTGTTCATTGTTCCAAAAGTAATGCATGATAGCCATGAACCAGAGCTGGAATGACTTTGTGTATAAACATAGAAGTTTTCGCTAGTTGTACACAGGTATAGGATGACTGACGATAAAATTGCTAATATGTGTCAATGATTCTTGATCCTTGTAGGCCCAAACCCATGGTAGACTTCATGTTTCGTCCACAAAATATAGTTAATTCACTTTACAGTATATTCTGTGAAGCGCTTTGAGACATCTTGAGGATGTGATAAGGCACTATATCAAATGCAAGAATTATTATTCTTATGGTGGGGATTATTATTCAAATAAGTTATTCTAATTTTGTATTACTATGTAGAACTATGGGTGAGTCCATATTTAGAATATTGCGTGTGGTTTGGAGCACAATATCATCCAAGTCACATTGAAACATTGGAGAAGGTACTAAGAAAAGCAACAAAGATATAAAAGCAATAGAAAATCTGCTACATAGATTCATTGGGAGTGATGGGTTATGAAGAGAAACTTGAGAAATTATCTCATAACAACAACAACAAATTGCATTTATATAGGGTTTCACGTTGAGAGGACTTCCCAAGGCGCTGGACAGTGAAGAGTTTGCCCCCAAGCAGGGGGTTGGAGTAAAGTGGGGTGGGAGGCAGGGAAGTAGTAGATAGGATGACTGAAGGCATGGTCAAAGAGAAAAGTCCTGAGAAGAGCAATGAAGGAGGCAATGGAGGGGGCAAGGTGCAACCTTATTGTTCTTCAAGATTATTAAGGATTATGATAGAAAAATAGTAATAGTTTATTTCCACTGGTCAGTAAGTCAGTAATGAGAGTGAACCCATTTACGATAATCACAAAAATAATTTACATTAGAGGAGAGGCTGTTTTCTGTGCATAGGTGGAGTTTGACTAGGGCTTGGAGGGTCTAAGCCCTCCTCAAACTTGCTGTGTCTCAGACCTGCAGGTTTTCTTCTCCCTCAGTACTGACATGAATCCTACAGTCGCCCATCGTCACGTGTGTGCCGTGGACTGGAGCACATGCGCAAGTGGTGAAGGTGAGGTAATGTCCTGCAGACATGTATTTTGCTGTATGATTGGTCCTTTTGTGTTTGTAACCCCAGATTTGTATTAAAAATATTTGTTTTAGTGAAAAACAAAACAAAACAAAGAGGTGACACTGTAGAATAATATATATATTACAAAGATGAGTATTCAATTTTTTCCTGAGAACAAATTAGTTAGTCAGATGTAGGTTTCTTTGTAGGATTAAAGCTAGTAAAAAGGGCTTCAAAACTAGTACAGGCAATCACTGCAAAGGGCTGAGAATCCATGAGCTCTGCCATGAGCTGGTGGCCCCAAGACCCCTCACCTAAAACCTCAAGTTTCTGAAATGATGGCTCTGCTCTCACTTCAGCCCCCCACCCAATCTAAAGGTCAAACTCTGCCCATGTTTCTGTGTGTTAATTACCCACTTGACTGAAAACAAACAAGAGGAAATTAGACAGATGCTTAAAAAAGTAGAATATTAAAGATTTATAGGGATTAAACAGGAAAAATTGATACGTTAGGTGGTTCATGTGGAGACAATTACCAGCACAGATCTGATGGGCCGCCTGGTGTATTTCTGTGCAGAAACATTCTATAATCCTAAGATTTAGACCTCTTGAGTTACTTATTATTGCACTGAAACAGACTATTTGGCCCAACTCGACTGTGCCAGTAATCATACTCCACATGAGCCTCCACCAATCCTAATTCCCCCTCTCTATCTCCTTCCCTTATCCCTCTTTTCCATTCTCCTTCATGTATGGATCGAGTATCCACTTAAATGCAGTGATACTTTCAGTGAGTTATGAGAAGAGGCTCACTTAGCTGATTGTATTATCATTGGGGAAGAAAAGAATAAAGAAGGATATGATACAGGTCAATTTTTAATCAATAAAATATCGTTTATTTTCAAATTCATCCACAAATGAGAAGAGGAAACAATAGAAAGTATTAAGATGGGCCAATGTTCCAGTTTGACACATTGTCATTAAACTTGGTACATATATTGCAATAAAGATCAAAATACAACTGCATTTCTACCCAGTTCTCAATCCTAAATATCCTGCTTCTGGAAACATTGGTAACACTCCAGCAGTATAGACGGGGAATAAACGTATCGATTGTTACAATATTAATTGGCTCAAGTATAATTTTCCCAGTGTATTAAATACCATTATAATGAATAAACCTAGTGGTAAAACTGGTATCTATCTTGTCCAAATTGCTAAAAAAAATATTGTTTTAGATTACTAAATAAGGGTGGGAACACACATCCAAAGCATGGTGTACCATCAGACTCGGCAGCATAGTTAGATGCCTGGGAGCAGGTTGCTTGAACAGAAACTGAGATCACTCAGGTTTTTCCAGAAATAACTGTGGAAAAATATATTCCAGTAAAACATTGTATTATCAGCATGTTTTGTGAACTCTATTGACCCAGTTATATCTACTCCAATTTGCCCCAGTTATCCTTGCAAATGCTCACAATAATAAACATTTGATACAGTTCCAAAGGGCTTCACCAAATTTTACAGTGTAGTTAATGTGTATTTGTAGTTGAACTCAGCAGCCAGTTTGTATACAGCAATGGCCCACAGTGAATGAATAACAAATGTTATTTTGGGAGTGTTGGGTAGGACCTTGGGAGAAATTCAAATTCAATTTCACAAAAGATTTGAACAACTTGTTTTAAATGCATTTGTAATTTTTTTCCCCCTTGTGTTTAGAAAGAAGATGGTCGCTATTTTTTAATGACTTTGCTGAACATGGACTTTGATGAAGACAGAGATTTAAAACCAGGCATTCTTCTTGACTATCTGTACAACGCTATTATGTTTGCTGTTCAAAAAGGATTTCCATGGCCAAATGTTGTGCTAGTTGCACGTTTTTCTGAAGAACTACTAGAAGAAACTATGGGTAATTATTTTTTTCATAAGATATATTTAGCTTTGAGATGTGTTAATAGGTATCACTGAATAATGTCATTCAAGCAGGGAAAAAATAGGTACATCAGACAAAGTCACGGGTCAAAGTTTTTTAATTAGCACAAAGTATATATTGTAGTAAAACATGCTCTGCATTGAATTACTTAGGATGTTATTAATAAAACCTTTATTTAAAATATGGTGGGGAAGACATTATTCTCTTCCAAAACCTCTTTGTATGGCTTTCTCACTCCTTACCTTCAAATGTTTCCTAAAAATATTATCTTTTCAACCATGCTTTTGGTCAATGTCCATATTTTTTCCTTTTCTTTTCCCTACTGGGTGCTTCCCATCATATTTGTTAAGCTCTTTGAGACATTCTATCCGAATGTCACTTTATAAATGCAAATTATTGTCATTTAAGACTTTAGTGATAATGGATTTGAATTTTGACCAGGATTGACAAAACCAAGAGCGAGGTGCTCCTTGATTACATAAAGAACTAAAGGTCACCAATCACTTTTATGATTCAATAAAGATACATTCTGCTTTTTAATCAACAGCAGATAACAATGTGAGAGCAGTGAACTTAATTAAAGCTTAGTTATAATAAAAACATGAATAAGATTGCAATAGTAGAGGGATTGAATGTGAATCAAAAGAGCATGATATTGTTGCTGATTACTGCATTGGGCAGACCTTATTGGAAGTACTGTATGCAGGATGTTTATGCGATCATATTTGAGTTTTTTGGGAGTAGAGAGGTGAGAAATTAACATGATTCCAGAAATTAAAAATGTAATTCTAGAAAAGAAAAGATGAGAAATTGTTTTGGAAGTGACTGAAATTATGTTTTCAAGATTATGAAGGAAATTAACCAAGCTGGTTCATACAAATTATTCATTCTACAGATACATGTGGTTGAAGGTTTCAAATATCAGAAAATAAATGTTAATAATGAGCAAGTTAGAAAGAAGGGAAGCCAGGCAGAACATTTTACCAAAAGGGAGTTAGGTTGCAAAATAAGGTACCAGGGGTACTGTACAGTAAAAAAAAATGTGTTGAAAAGACAACCAGATGCATTTCAGGAGAGAAAGGCAGATAAGGTAGGGTGAGACTCTCCAAAAAGAGGCAGGAGTCTTGGGTCTAATGGCCTTTTCCTGTCGCTAACATAGCTTGTATTTTGGAGAGTTGGTTCATTGTGTTTATGTATTTGAAACAATTCCGTGCAGTGAATAGAAGTGAATGATTGATGGTGCCTAATAACTCTGAGTTCAGTAATTGTTTCAGACCTCATTAGAAAGCCTTTAGATTTTATGTCCATTTCATCGATTTTCTTTATTTTTTCCATCTAGCTGAATTGAAGCTACTTAATTTTTACAGGTTCCAGTTGGAATACCATTCTAAACCTTTTGTCTTCTTTATTAGCTCATGTTTTTTATACAGAAAAATATTCCCTTCATTCAGAGATATAGTGATGAACTGTAAATGCTAGAGATAAGAGAGAAACTGATAATAATGCAGAGCATTTCAGAGATAATAACGGCAAGTCAAAGTGTCATATCTTATCGAGGGACATTCTGAGGAAAGATATAGACCAAAGCAATATCCTGTCTTTTCTTTTCAGATGTGTGAGTTTCCAAAGTTCCTTTCATTCATAATCAAATTTCTTAGAATTCACCATAATCCACTGTTTTATCAGACCTGGTGCAGTTGAATACCTCAAAAGCATGGTAGCATCAAAGTCTGCTTTACTCTGTGGTACTGTAGTGCAGATTACCAGTGGCATTCAGGTGGTATAATCCCATAGTTCCTTCCTCACATGCTTAGATTTTCTATTCTTAAAGACTGTTACCAATTTCCAACATTTCCATTAAAACAATAAATAAACAAAAGTTACTTAATTGTAGTTTTCCATTTTCAGGGATAACTATCACAGAAGCTATTGGGATGCTGAAGAAGAAGTGTGACCAGTACCAATATACCATGAAGCCTAAGCAGTTCAAACTTTTAGTTAACTATTTCCTTGAAACATTCTTCAAACATTATCGTCTCTATCAGTTTGTTTTGCTTGAGGTAAGAGAGATGGACCAGACCATACATAATCTTGAGGTCTACGTTCCCCAAAAGCCACTTGCACTGAAGGATGGGACAGAAGCGGATGTTTGGATATATCAAAAGCGCATATCTGAACTCAATGAAACTGAGAATCAGTTACAGGCTGAAATGTTATTTCTCCGTCAAACCTCGCAACTGGAAAGTGAACGGAAGCTGGAACAATTTTATCAACGCCTCAAACTTAAAGATAAAATTGTGCTTGAAAGCGAGGTGAGTAAGCCACTTGTTTAGAGGCACACCCTAGAGGCAGTGCAGAGGAAAGCAAAGAGAATCATTCCCAATGTCAGTGACAAACAATTTGGCAAACAAGGACTCTTCGATCTTAAGAGAAGATGGTTCAGAAGGACCTCAATGAGGTATACAACATTTTAAAATGGGATTGAAAAAGTAAACCCAGATCAACACTTTAGGATGCACCAAGATAGTAGAACAAGACAACATAAAATTACAGTTAAAGGGTAATTTCAGAACAGTTACTGGGAAATTATTTGTTCCCAGAGGGTAATTAGTGACTGGAACAGATTCCCAAGAAAGGTGGTTAATGCCAGGAAACTGGACTCATTTAAAAAGCACCTTAATGCTGCGATGGGAGAAAGGAAGGGTGGGTATTCTGGAAGGAAGAGGTCAGGTATACCAAAGGACCTTCTTCATTCCACTCCCTCCTGCTCTATCTCTGCTGAGATCTCCTCCCTTCTCCCTCAACCTCTCTCTCCACATCCACTCTGCCATTCATGTCCGCAGTCAACTCCTTGACCTGGTGATCACTCAGGGCCTCACCATCTCGGACCCCCGGAAAAAAATCTCCACATCCCTCTCGGCTGCCTTGGAGTCATCTGAACTCCTTCCCCTCTGGGCTTCCTTCCACAATGAACTATCCTCCTTGGTCACTCTTCTCCACAGCTCCCCCTCCTCCACTCTCGATTCCCTTGCTCCTCTCTCTTCCCGAACCGGCTCCTATTCACGTAAGTCACCATAGTACACCAGCCACCCCACTCCCTTAAAGCACAGTTTGCATGCCGGTGAACACACCTGGCTTAAATCAAACTTAACGGTCCATCGGCAGATCTGGCTGGATCTTATCAAATCCTACCGCTCCGCGCTTGCCTCCGCTAAATTGTCATTCTACTCCAAGACAATCTTGGAGGCCAAGAACAAACATAGGCTTCTCTTCTACATCACCAACCGGCTCCTCCGCCCACCGTCTCACACCTCACCCATCCTCACCTCCAATGCCACTGCAAGGGGATGCTGGACTTCCTCGAATCCAAAGTTGAGGGGATCCGCTCAGCTGCCTCAGCCCTACTGTCTACTACCCCTTCCCCATTTTCTCCTCCCACCAGCCTCTACCCATCCCTCCTCCACACCTTCGAACCTGTCTCCCACTCCTATTTCACCACCACTATAACCCGCATAAACAGACCATCAGCTCCCTCGACCCCATCCCTACCCCTCTCCTTACCTCCCAGCTCCACCTCCTTGCCCCTCTACTCACAGACATCATAAACCTCCCTGTCCACTGGTACTGTTCCCACCCCATCAAAAACATTTGTTTTTACTTTTTTACTCCTATTCTTAAAAAAACCTTGCTGGACCCACCTCTGCTCTCAAACTATCACGCCCTCTTGAACCTACCTTTACTCTCCAAGGTTCTGGAATGAGTTGTTGCTTCCCAGCTTCGCACCTTCCTCTCCCACCACTTCCTTCACGAATCCTCCGATCGGGGTTCTATGCCACCCATAGCACAGAAACATCCCTGGTCAAAGTGACAAATGACAATCTGTCCATCTGCGACCAGGGCTCCCTCTGCCTCCTCGTCCTCCTTGACCTCTCTGCTGCCTTCGACACAGTCGACCACTCTATCCTCATCCACCGCCTCTCCTCTCACCTCAACCTTCACGGCTCTGTCCTTGACTGGTTCAGATCGTACCTCTCACACCGCCTCCACTTCATCTGCACAAATGGTTTCTCCTCTAGCCCCCGCACTGTCTCATGCGGCGTTCCTCAGGGCTCTATCCTTGGTCCCCTCCTCTTCAATATCTATATGCTCCCTCTTGGTGACATCATCCGCAGACATGGGGTCAACTTGTACATATATGTGAATGACACTCAACTGTACCTCTCTGCCTCCACCCTTGACTCCAAGACCACTGCTGTCTTGACAGAATGTCTGTCAGACATCAAGTCTTGGATGAAAGCAAACTTTCTTCAGTTGAACGTCAACGAGACCGAGGCTCTCCTGATTGGCTCCCCGAGGTGCCTCCTTACCTCAGGCGCTGACAGCATCACCATCCATGGTTGCACACTCCATCTTGCTAAGCCAGCCCTGGACCTTGGCATATTGTCAACTATCCTTTCTAGCCCACAGCTGTGCCATGACCTGCTCTGCCTTTCCCCACCGAGACATCGCCCAGCTCTGCCACTGTCTCACACCGCAGGCCGCCGAAACCCTCATACATGCTTTCATTGCATCGAGGCTTGACTATGGAAACTCCTTGCTTGTCGGCCTCCCCATCTCCTCCCTCCATAGGCTGCAGATCATCCAGACCACACCAGGCTCCATGTCCCTATCACCCAAATCCTCACCCGACTCCACTGGCTTCCCATTACACAGAGGATACAATTCAAGATCCTGGTCTTCACTTTCAAAGCCCTCCATGGTCTTGCTCCCCAATACCTCTTAAGCCCCTACCATCCTGCTTGCTCCCTCAACTAAGCGGGCTCTGGCCTGCTTCCTGTTAATGTTTTAAATAATATATAAATAATGATAATGAATTTTGGAAAATAGAACCCTGTATTGAAGGACACCTCCAATAAATGAATTGCCGGATGAAGCTGTGAAGCTACCATGCAGTAGGTTACTGCACACAAAGTGATTGCTCTGAATTTATATCAGCAAAGTTGAAAGTTTTCCTCTAACTTTCTGCATACATAGTGCTGTCCTGATTTAATTCTGCAGATGCAGCATGATATAGGGCAGCTATAAAATCCAGCGAAGGAATCCTGTTTTGAGTTTGTGTTTTAAAAGATCAGCAGCTTTGTGATAGAATATGAATTTGTTTTAACAAATCTTTCCATGCTGAGTTCCTGATCTAAACGTGTTGTTGGGGGATGAGTGGAGATTCCTCAAAATAGAAACTGAAAATTAATATAAAGAAACCTTTAAATTAAATGTGCACATATTTCCACAGTTCTTTTAGTTTACCTTCATTAGGAATATACTATGACTTCAGAGTCTGTACACAAAAATAGTCTATTATTACTAATAATAAACCAAAAAAGAAAGAAGACTTAAGCAGTAATTTTCACTGAAATAAATGTCTTGAATTGCTATTACAGAATAAATATTGATATCTAGGCCATAACGGCAGCTAATGTGTACCCAGAAACATCCTGCAAACAATCGGTCCAGAAGCCAGTTAATTTGAATTTGAATACTATATCTGCAAGCTGCTTTTTAGCCATTCTGTAGCTAAGTGGTTAGAGCACTTGCCTCACAAGCGAGAGGCCTGGGTTTGATTCCCGACAGGGCGAAACCTTGGGCAAGTTTCCTTACTCCACATGCCTGATAATAATCCCTTAAGAAAAAAATAATAAAAATTTGGTCACTTCAGTCGACGACTATTTGTGGGACACTGCTGCGCAATTGGCTGCCACGTTTTGCCCACAAATATACAGTCAATTCACTTTACAGTATATTCTGTGAAGCGCTTTAAGATGTCTAGAAGATGTGAAAAGTGCTATATCAAATGCAAGGATTATTAAGGATATTATTATTATAGTGTATTTAACAATGTAGCACAATTGCTGTAAATAAAAAAGGGAATAAAATACACATTTAAAGCTAAATTATTTTCATATATTTTGAAAGTAGAAAAAAAACTTTCTTGTAGGTCTTGAACACAGCATGCAAACATATATGGTGGTTCATTGCTTGGATATGTGCAGATGATGAAGCTGTTCTGTATTCGCATTGAAGGAAAACTAGAAACCACATATTAATGAGTATTTGGACTTAGAAGTTTCTGAGCAATTCCATTTGCATTCTATTTACAAATTTGACACCAGAGGGCAGGACTGCTCAGGACTGAGGACGGCTTACATACAATTCCATTCAACGTCTAATACATTAGGAGGTATGCATGGGTTGTCTGCTTTGCCACCTCCTTCCCTACCAGCTATTTTTCCCTTACTCCATGGGATGATCTAGTAGAGATTACGGAAACACATCCGCTAGGAAGTGAAATATCAGCTCAGGCCTTTTGAGACAGGCAACCTGACATAAAGCCTTGCTGTGTTGTACCATGTACTAAATTAGCTTCATTGTGAAAATATACAAATAATGATAATGAAAAAACATGGTATGAATTAATTGCATGATCCTCCTTGAATTAATAATAATAATCATTATTATTATTATTATATTGAATTAATCTGCTGCCTGACCAACGAGATGGCTATTCTGGTTCACTAAGTCAAACATATTCTGCATTTGTGTAAAAAATAAAGGCAGATTTCACCAAACATCCTGCTGAATATCTCTGCTGAGTAATCCAAATAAAACCTATTTTTTTACATGTACAACCATAACAAAATTCCCCATAAACCTATTATTAACTTCAGAAATCCAACAAGAAATGACTATTCCCAAAGATTACTAGTCATTCCCAGCAATCATGTGAAAGGAAAATTTGCAATGCAAAAACATTTTTTTCCATAGCTACAAATAGAGCCCAGCACCACACAAGAAATGTATGCTGCTCCTTCCCTTGGCTTTATGAATCTTAAGTATAAATTCCATATCCTGCTACTCTGAAACAGATTGTCACATTACCACCTTGGGATGGAAGCTCCACCTGGACCCAAATTAACTCTATTTACTTAGTATTTCAGAACATGCAGAACTTGCTAAATGCTTAAATGCAATCTTATTTTGGAAACAAATTTTCTGCAAATTATTTTACAAACTACAGAAAAATGGCTTCAGAGTTAGGACTGAATTTCACGGTGCCAAATTCTGCACACAATGAAATGCTACATAAATAAAGTAAATATAGACACAGATGAAATTTCTCCCCACTTGTGTTTTAAATGTATTTTTTTGAAAGAGTTACACTGTGATCACTAAGTATGGTATGCATGAAATACAGGTATTACAGGTAAGTGTTTGTGAGAATTATCTAATGTGTAGGACAACACCTTAACTATTTTGATTCTAGCTGGGCTGATGCTAAATAATTATTATATAATAATTCTTCAATTGGATACAGTACCTATAACTTTGAAATGTCTCAAAACACTTCAGAGCTGTTAAGTGTATCGACTGTGTATTTGTAAGCAGATGGGATAGCCAGTTTGTGCACAGCAATGTCCCACAAACAGTGAAGTAAATGACCAATTTATCTGAAGAATTATTGGCCAGGGAACTGGGAGAAACGCCTTTCTCATTTCAAACCATGCCAAATCACTTCATGCCCTAATACCACCCTACCTCTTCAACCTGTTCACACACCATTACTCTATCCGTCACTTTCACGCAGCCAGCATGGAGCTTCTGCACATCTCTCAACCCTCCCTTCCACCATCGGAGTCTGTGCGATCAGCTAATACGCCTCGAACCTCTGGAACTCCTACCTCAATCCCTCCTCTTTCCCCCTTTTTGGCCATCTTCAAATTTCACTTCAAGACTTTCCTCTTCGAACCGTGCCTTTGGTCATCTCTGCTTTCTCCCACCTCGGCTTCAAACTGCTCCATTGTTAAGCATACTTAGATGCAACCTGCGTGAAGGGTGTTATGTATGAGTAAATGTTTTTGTTGTTGTTGTTGCTGACATTTGATCTTGAATGTCCGGTTGAACAGGGCAGACAGGATCTCAACAACAGCAACAACAACAACTTGGATTTACATAGCGCCCTCCATGCCGGATGGCGTCTCAGAGCGCTTCACAATACCGGATCCCGGGGCTGAGCCAAGGGGAGGGGGAGGAAGGTGACCAAAGGCGCAGTTGAAAAGAAAGATCTTTAGCCGAGACCTGAAAGTAGGAAGAGAGGGGGCGAGGCGAAGAGAGTGAGGAAGGGAGTTCCAGAGCCTTGGGGTGTAGTGGTTGAAGACACGGCCGCCGATGGTGGAGCGGAGGATTTGGGGGGCCTAGGAGGAAGCCAGACCCGGTGGAGCGAAGGCAACGGGCATTGTGGTGAGGAAAGAGGAGATCAGAGAGGTAGGGGGTTCAGAGGAGTTGAGGGATTTGAAAACAAGAGTGAGCATCTTGAAGTCGATCCTCTCTGGGACAGGCAGCCAGTTCAGTTTTGCGAGGACTGGGGTAACCGGGGAGTGGAGTTTGGTGCGAGTAGGAATGCGGGCGGTAGAATTCTGAATGACCTGGATTTTATGAATGGTAGTGGAGGGGAGACTGGTGAGGAGGGCGTTTGAATAGTCCAGCTGAAAGGTGACAAAGGTATGGACCAGGGTTTCGGCGGCTTTTGTGAGATATTGTCGGAGACGGGCGATGCGTCGGAGGTGGAAGAAAGGTGTTGGTGAGGGATCGGATGTGGGGGAGGAAGGATAATTGGGGTTCAAACCTGATGCATAGGTTGCATACGGATTCGGAGAGTTTTAGGGGCAGGTCGGATAGGTGGAGGTGATGAGAACTGTGCGATTAAAGATGTTGACAAGAGCCAAAGAGTATGGCTTCCATTTTATTAACATTTAGCTGAAAAAATTCGCGCTCATCCAGCTCCTGATGTCTGACAGGCAGGCTGACAGAACATTAGGGGACTGGGAGTCACAAAGTGAGGTGGAAAAATAGAGTTGGGTGTCGTCCGCATACATGTGGAAGTGTACCCCATGTCTGCGGATGACATCCCCAAGAGGAAGCATATAGATTAGGAAGAGGAGGGGGCCAAGGATTGATCCTTGGGGTACCCCGCAGGTAACCAGGTGAGAGCGGGAGGAGAAGCCGTTTGTGCAGATGTACTGCTGGGGGTTTGTGAGGTAGGACTCAAACCAGACGAGTGCGGTCCCACTGAGGTGGATGACAGAGGAAAGGCGGTGGAGGAGGATGGCGTGATCAACTGTGTTGAATGCGGCGGAGAGGTCCAGGAGGACAAGGAGGCAGAGGGAGCCCTGGTCACAGATAGAGAGGATGTCGTTTGAGACTTTCACAAGTCTCTGTACTGTGGGCAGAGTGGAAACCGGACTGGAGGGGTTCGAAGAGGGAGTGGGAGGAGAGGTGTGCGTGGAGTTCGTTGGCAACAACGCATTCTAGGACTTTGGCAAGGAAGGGCAAGTTTGAAATAGGGCAGTAGTGTCTAGGGAGGGATCGAGGAAAGGTTTTTTGAGGAGGGGGGTGATGACAGCAGTTTTGAGATGATTGATGACATCAGCCAGTAGTGGCTCAAAGCAGCGTTCCCCCGTTACTGCGCCTGGAACACCATCTCTAATTATGAGCTAAAAATTCTAACATGTGACTTGAATCCACAATCTTGTGACACAGAGCAAAGGGTATGATCAACCGAGCCAACTTGATACCTGCTGTAATGCAAATTTGCATGTTACTTAACTAGTAACTAGTGGACAGCCTTAGACAGCTCGGTTGCCTAGGAGAGACTATCACAACAATTAAAATCAGGTAATGTATGTATGTGTGGGTGGGGGGGGAGGGGCTAAGGTACGGTTGGGGGTCAAACCACTTGAACTAAAACGGCTTTGTTAGTTTGCCATTTTCTTGTTGATTTGCGAACTATTAGTTGACGGCAACAATCTTAACATTTGATTTTCAGAAAGTAGAAAAAATTGTGAAGGAAGCCCAAGACATACTGATGAAAATAGCTTCTGAAACTCTGGAAAACGTGATCAGAACATCTTTTGAAATCTTAGATATAAAGCTTCAGAAGCGGGTGCTGCCCCAGCCAGCCAGCAACGCCAATGTTTTAAAAAAAAAGATATTGTCAAAATTTAAAAAATCATGAATTGAATGTGAAGGATTTCAACTTTTCCATTTTATTAATCATTCGATACAGCTTTTTTAACAGAGCAAAAATGAAATTATTTCATGTATAGAAATTGATTTCAGCACGGGGAGTCATTTTGAAGTGATTTAATCAAAATTATCATCATCTGCACGTTTAGTTGTAATTTAGTGATTCCCTTTTCTCACAGAGTAATCTTTCAGCTGTTTTTGTTTTAAAATTATGCGATCATAGTATTGAGTAAATTGTTAAAATAATTTGTCTGAAATCATTTACATTTTTCAATGTATTAAAAAAGAGTTTGGTGAAAAACAATTACTCACCACATGATCATATCTACGGCAATCTTCTACCAAATAAACTATTTCTCATGAAATCATTCTAGATTATCAGCTTTTTGCCAACTATTTATAGTTTATGGAAACCATGTGATTTATTGCTATTGTGCAGTCTGTTGTCATGTCACTCTATTGCTTAAACATTATGGAAGTATTAGTACCTTTGTAAATTCTTTAGTCGCTAGAGAATCACAAAGTCAAATTAAAATAACCAATTTTACAACCTGACAAACATGTAGCAAATTGTTTATAACTAAATAATAATAATACTTGCATTTGATATAGGTCTTTCACTTGGAAGGAAGACGCAAAGAACTTCATTGATTTACTATAAACTGTATTGATGGTGTACTTTGTAAGCTTAAATGCTTTTGATGGGACCTTACCCACAAAACAAAGTATATCTAGAATGTCAATCCATTTTTGTAGTTTACCTTTGCTGGACTTAATGAATCATAGATAATCAGTTCTGCTAACGTCTAAAATGTAACTTTGTAGCAAAACAAAACTTTCTTAATCTCTTGTTGGGGGTCACTGGTCCCAGATGATGTTAATCAGTGAGGATTATTCCCCCAGCTTGACATGAGCACACGTCCTTCCCTCAGTCTGGTGACTGTAGTAAAGTGACTACAAACATCCTGGTGGAGAGGTAATGTGGACTAGAAACAGTCTTATCAGGCAGGAAGCAGAGAGCTCTGGCCACATCCGGTACTTCAGTTCAAATTCCCAAACTCAGGCAAACACTCATTAACCACGATTAGACCTTCTCATTCCTTGTTATGACAAAATCTGTTAAACAGATTTCAGTGGAAGCTCATTTCATGAAGTGCCTTTAAATTGAAATGTGCCATAGATTTCATACATTTATATTTGATCCACTTTTCTGGATTTGTATTTAATTTAGAATATTTGTGTTGAGTTTATGATTAAATTGTTCTGAAATTGCCCCTAGTTTCAGATTTTAAAACTGCGTTAATATTTGAACAAACAATATATATAAACATTGAGCAAAGTACAGCATTAAGTTAGGAGACATGTACTATGCATGTCCAGGAACATACATTTACATTGAGAATTTTTATTTATAGCTACTTTGGCACTGCTATCAATTCATAGGCTTTAAATGTCTTCATTTGATTTTCTTGTGGGCAGAAGTTATGCAGACTGAAACTGACTTCAAAATTCAGTAGGGACTGAATTGTTGTGGTGATCTAATTCTAAAACAGAAAATTATTGTAATTGTTTTATATAAGTCTCACAAGAAAAACTATCTTTACATTTTTAGTTGATGAGCACAGAATATTGTTAACGAGCCTGGTAAAACTTTGACAAACAAAATATTAATAAATTGCATGAGATTGGATTTATTTTACAAACACCAATCTCCCCTCTATATACTAGTTTCCTCTACGTAGAGATCTATGCATTAATGTTGTTAGCATACCACAGACACATTTCCTGAGTAACTAGCCATAAAGAAATTACTACTAAAATTTTACAAGCTAAGTTCACAGTAAGCAAAGGTTGTTTGGCAAATATCTTCAAACATTTTCAGCATAGTGAATGGTCAAAGCGCATTTAATTTAATTTTCGGAGCAATTGAAATTTGTTATGTAAGATATTTGCCTCTTTATTTAAAAAATGGTGTTTATCCTAAATTTATCCTAAATGTAAAAGCACTGTTTTTTAAAAAAATCCCATGTGCCAACTTTTACAAATATGTTGAATATGTTGAAATGAAAATGCAATTGTGTTAATTTGCTACCTGCAAAGTTAAATATTTAATAAATATTAGCAACCAAGAAAAGAAAGTGGGATTAAAACTTCATGGAGCATTTATTTAAAAAATAAATTGATAACAGATCAGTTAGTCCAGATTACTTACATACTTAGAATGCAACACATTTATATCAAGCCAACCATTTGAATACAGGGGCTAATAATAAACACATAGGAAAAATAAAGTCATCAGTGAATATTTAAATACATTGCTGGAGCCTCTTTACAAGCACAAAAAAACTAAACCTACAATATGAAAAAGAATTGTTCTAAGAATCAAGCAGCGTTTTGATTTTAAAAGTGTAAAAATTTACTGCAAACAACAACGATGTTTAGTACTTAATAACTTATGGAAATCTTTATTTATTTGTTTTGGCACCCTGAGGAAATGTCCATGTCCAGAGAACTGTGGTTAATAATACTGTTTTGACTGGAAAGAGTTTGCTCTAGGAGCCACTGTAGTTATTGTAATAGGCTGCAGTAGCATCTGCTAAAACAGATATAAGGCTTCTCTCTGAACCTGTACCTCCTGATGGATTGTCTTCAGATGAATGTTCATTGATTGCCATCTCTTCCGGATTTGAACGAATGGAGGTATTCAAGTATTGGTCAAACTCATTGCGGTCCACTTCTCCTAAAAGCTCAGCTTGGCTGATGTGTTCCAGGCTATCTAGATGATGAGGGGGAGAAAGGTGGACAGAGGTATTTGCATGTACAGAATGGAAGGGAGGATGGTGGATGCGGCTGTAATAGGAGGGTGGAGGTGGGCGGCTGGTTACAGGATGCATCATGGTAGATCTAGTCTGGGAGATTGCGATCTGACTGAGGTGTCCACATTGGATGGGACTTTGACCGTATTCTGAACAATATGTTCCTTCAGTCATCTGGGGACGAGGATCATCTGGACATTGAGGTGGAAAGAAGCTGTGATCAGCATCGATGACATCCAGAGGGGACATCTCAGGGGTAGGTAGCCCATAGTTGTCAAAGCTGTTGTTTGTGGTCTGCGTTTCCCTGAATCTGCTGATTACAGGAAGTCTTGAGGCCGATGAATAGCTTTTATCCTCCTCTTCCTCCAGGCGTCCCCTATAGGCTCTGCCGCTGGGGACAGGTGGCTGATCATGGGGGAAGTTGTTGAGGAGGAAGCTCGGGTCGACACGTTTACACAGACGTTTGATTTGCTTTTTCCTCCGAGGTCTGTATTTGTAATTGGGATGATCCTGCATGTGCTGCACTCGTAATCTTTCAGCTTCTTCCACAAAAGGTCTCTTCTGTGCAGGAGCGAGCGCCTTCCACGATCTGCCTAAAATACAGCCCACAATTTCAATTAGAAGCAAATACAACAACAACAAAATTACATTTCTATAACAATTTTCACATTGAGAGGATATCCCAAGGTGCTGGACGGTCAGTGTTTTGGACCTGAGCTGGGGTCGGGATTAAGGAGGGTGGAGGGCAGGGATAGAAGGAGGTTGATCGAAAGCATAGTCAAAAAGAAGGGTAGTGAGATGGGTCTTGAAGGAGGCAAGGGAGGGTGCAAGGTGGAGGGACTGCAGGATGGAGTTCCAAAGGGTGGTGGCAGAAGGCCTGCCTGCCAGTGGTGAGGTGAGCGAGGCTGGGGACGTGAAGCAGGCCGAAGCCCACTGAATGGAGAGAGTGTGCACGATGGTAGGGGGTTAGGAGGTTGTAGAGGTAGGGGGAGTGAGGCCATGGAGGGCTTTGAAGGTGAGGACCAGGATCTTGAGCTGCATCGTCTGTGTGATGGGAAGTCAATGGAGTCAGTTGAAGATGGAGGTGATAGGATCACGGAGCCTGGTGTGGGAGAGGACACGGGCTGCAGAGTTCTGGATGATCTGCAGCCTATGAAGGGAGGCATTGGGGAGGCTGACAAGCAAGGAGTTTCCATAGTCAAGCCTGGATGTTATGAATGCATGAATGAGGGTTTCTGCGGCCTGCGGTGTGAAACAGTGGTGGAGCCGGGCGATAATGCAGGGTAGAGTAAGGCAGAGTGGGTCATGGCACAGATGTGGGGTAGAAAGTATAGTTTAGGGTCAAACAAGATGCCAAGGTTCCAGACTGGTTTAGTAAGGTAGAGTGTGCATCCTTGGAGAGTGATGCTGTCAGTGCCTGGGGGTGAGAAGGCGCTGATGGGAGCCAATCAGGAGGGCCTCGGATTTGTTGATGTTCAACTGAAGAAAGTTAGCTCTCATCCAGGACTTGATGTCTGTCAGACATTGTATCAGGACAACAGTGGTCCTGGAGTCAATGGTGGAGGCAGAGAGGTACAGTTGGATATCATCCGCATACATGTGGAAGTAAAAATAAAACTGCAATTAACTAGAGAAGCACCATTCCTTTTGTAGATTAAATTTCTAAAGAATGGCTGTCCGTTTTGTTATTATTAAATGTTTTTCATTGACTGTTCACAGAATCACAAAAGAGTTTCTAATGAAGAAGGTCCTTCATCCCTTTTGATCTCATCTTTCCAGAATACCCGTCCTCTCTTCCTTCCAGAATGCCCAACCTCTTTTTTTAAAGGAGTCCAGTGCCCTGGCCTCATTCACCCTTCCTGGAAACCAGTTCCAGTCGTTAACTATCCTCTGGGTAAAAGATCTTTCCTGAAATTGCCCTTTGCAACTCTGAACCAATGTCCTCTTGTTCTGCATAACAGAAAGTATTATTTTGGGTTTACGTTCTCAATTCTATTTACAATTCTTTATACCTCTAGAAGGTCCCCTCTGAGCAGTCTCTTCAATGCTAAAGATACCTGACTTGTCAAGTCATTGATCATAGCTGATTCTTCCAACACTGTGGATCATCCTCGTTGCACTTCTTTGCATTGCCTCTTAGGCCTGGTCAGTTGTTCCCTTATGTCAAGTTGGCCTGAACTGCACATAGTACTCCAAAGCTGCCTGACTTGAGCACCATACAGCTTGAGCATGAACTCTAGGGATCTGAACTCAACTGATTTAGTAATATAGGCCTGCAAATTGTTATTGCTTAATTAAGGGCAATGTTATTTGTTCTGTTTCATGCATTCCAATGCTTTACCCATGCCACTTAATAAGCCCACAGTCTATTTTAACAGCCCAGCCTAGCACAGTTCACTGGGTATAATGATTTTAAGGTGACTGAATTTGTTTTGACTGATGTGTTGACCTTCCAAACTTTGTGCTCATCGATTGAGCCACACTACATAATGGGCTATTGGAAACAAATATAATTGCATATATTATAAAAGTGTCCTTTTTATATTATTTTGCATTATTCAGTGTCTCTAGATTGTCTAAACCATATGCAGTAGTTGTACATGGTTATTTTACAGTAAACTAAATAGATCACTAAATTAGTTTAAGGTCTCAACTATCAGTTGGCCAAATATTTTTAGACCTTTCTGATTCAATGTCTCATAACCAATAATATCTGTTCTGTTATTTTAAACTTTTTTTGCATAGCTTGCAGTCAGGCAGAGACTTTAAATAATGTATCCTTTGTTATCGTTAGGTTTCATGAAAAATGTCCCTTCCACTGGCTATAATTAGAGGAGCCTTCAGGTAGCTAAGAACGCTACAAATGCTCCAGTTGGAAGCAATTACAGTGGCGTTAGAAGACTTGCATGTATTGCTAGTTTTAGACACAGGAATGGGAATCAACCCTCAGGTTAAGACAGTGCTGACAGTACATTCAGAAGTCTCTCACAACACAAGTTTCAGAAGCTTTTGTGATTTGAAACCAATTGTTGAGATAATACGTTCTCACAAATAAATTTAGTGCGTACCACAGTCTCACAATTTGATTTGGTGCAAAGGATATCCTTATCCTTTTTTAATCAGCCCAAACAAACACTGCAATTGGTATATTAATCATAGTAAAGTAACATAACAGTATCTTTTTTTTTAGCTTTGTGTGCTGTAACAATTTTAATACAGGACATTGAAAGTGATCTATTTACAAACTATTTACAGCTGCTCCACTTTATATAAGCTTTAAAAAGCTAAATTAAAAATAAAAACTTGTTTACTATAATTTCTAGCCAAGATAAAGAAAATCTTGTTTTGATATAGAATGCTGATATCCAACATAGGTATTAGCTGAGATTCTATTTAACCAAAAGTTCAGGAAGAATGAAAAAGAATAAGAATATGCTTTGCATCGAATCAAATCTTGAGGCTTTGATAAACTTTAGATTTATTTGTGAGAACATATTTCTCAGCAATTGGTTTCAATTCAAGGACAGTAGCAAAGGTGACAGTAAAGTGCCCTGTCACGTTCCTCTGTTTATCCTAAAAAAGGGAGGTGATCAACTGATCAACTTAGCATTCTAAGTAGTAATAATAATAATCCATATAATGATTAAATCCCTGAGATCAAAATGCTAGAACTGTATAGAATAGGACTGATATATTTTGTAGGTGATTCTCTCTCTTTCCCTCCTTTCCAGTAGTCAAAGTCCTCACAGAATGTAGCTTAATCAAGAGCTCAGAGCTGAACATGTCCATTAACAATCTGGCCAAATTTATAATCTCTAGTTGAAGTCTTCAGTGATTCACGATGTCACAGTGACTTAATCTTTCAGGTGGTGTAACAACATAAATGCTGGATCTGGAGTGGATTGGATTCAGGCAACCGAGCCACACACAGATCATCACAACCCTTGATTGATCACTGACTCAGGCATGATTGGCAGAGAAAAGGCTATATGAGGACAGTGATGAGGAATATTAGGGGACAGTGATGGGCAAAGACAGATACAGAATATTTGTCATCCTGATAGATAACCTAGCAGATTGTAAGACTGTAAACTGGTAAACAATGCTTAACCACTTAAATAGGGATTAAAGTCATATTGATGGAGCAATTATAGAAGAAAGGAACCCAACTATAATGTAGTTCTCAATGGGGCAATTATCGGCTTTACTAGGGCTATAAAGACTGAGAAGCAGTCTCCCTGAGGGAAAGAGTTTAGGGTTGTCTCATTGACAACACTCATAGCTTTTGATTGACAGCTGATAATATTGCTTGAAGTACAAGGTGACTAAAAAGTTGTGAAGCTACCCTATTATCTAAAAAAAATCATAATTTATTTAAGACTTATTAGACATTATAATGGTATTATGACTTTTTGGCCACCCTGTATAACTCGTTACTCCTCTTCTCCCTACCCTTACTATGATTAGTGTCTCCAGTCTCTAGTCTTTCACACAAGGATACTGAGATTGCACTGTTATACTGACGAAGATGAATCTAAATTGTGCATCTGATATATAAGATGAAAACTCTTCTGGAGTTAGCAGAATAAAAGTTACCTGAATAAAAGAATTCATTAACTTTTGAAAGTCTGAGCTAATGTCTTGGTCAGGAGAAGGAGGGAGTTTGGTCTCATTTGCATGATACTCAAAATTGAAATGAATAAATAAGAGTTATAAAGATCAATGCAGTTAACTTCAATGTATGCATAAGAAAAAAATGTATTTCTGGTTCTTTGCTCTACAACTCAAACCCTACAACTCTCCATTTTTATCCAAGCCTTGCATCCTGCTTCTATATCTGGGGAGGATTTTCTAACTCCTCTCTTATATTCCATAACAGAAGACAAGTAAAGGATCATCATCTGAAAATGTAATCCTTCTCTGACCTCAGGCCTCCAATCTCTCTTTGTCACAAGCTTTCCTGTTTGCCTATATTTTATCAATACTGATATGGTTGTCCACATTTCTTCAAAACTACACAAAATCTTCCTCTTCCTGGCATTCTCAGCACTTAAAATGAAAAGTTATCCCACCCGATCCAATCTTTCCCAGAACCTCGAGTTTGTGAAACTCCTGACCTCCGTCAATCTCCTCTCGTATACGACCTACAAATCTTTGCATCCTGAGCTTCCCATTAGCAGCATAGGCATTCACCTCCAAAAGACAGTTACTATACTTTACAGTAAAATCCTGGAAAGTTCTTTGAGATGTCCTCCCGACATGAAAGGCACTATATCAAAAGCAAGGATTATTATTTTTTAAATTATTTAAGCCCTCATTTCTCTGTTACTTTTATTTCTATCATGATAGTGTGGTGCCCTATGAGCCTTAGTCCTTCAGCCTTATTTTGTTGATGAATTGGAAATAAAATCTTCACTTTTTGGGGGAAATTTTTCATGAACCCCTAGTGACACGTAGCATGCACCTCACTCAAAAAACCTAATTCATTTACTGTGGGATTGTGTTTTGAAAGATAAACATTAAACAGAAGCAAATTTAGAGTGGATTCCTTCCTCAAGTGCCTGAACACAACCATATCCTTTACAACTTGGGTTATATAAATCAGCCCAGACAATTTTCTGCCCTTTTCTTCCTTTCTGTTTTGTATTGGGTTTTTAAATGATTTCATTTTCCTTCTAGTTATTTATTTATTCACAGAGATATTTATTAACTATTAAAAAAAGGGGGAAAAATTAGGGAATTCATTATCCTAGGTCTTAGATAAAATTGTTTTACATTTCCTATTTTATTTTTACCGAAGATGCTCACTTCAGATAAACATTACAATTTTTATTACATAGTTGATTGAAAAAGCAACATTCTATAATAGATAATCTCACATTGAATCAATGATGCATGTCCTTTTTGCAACCTCTAATCTTCCATTCTTTCCTCTCCCCTTGTTTATTTAGAAGGTTTTCATAGTATTTATTGAACGGTTGTTCTACTTATAACCAGGTAGGTGTTTAGATGCCATCTAGTGGGTCTACCTATTTGTTCAACCAAATCAATAATAAAGGGACCATAGCAAAATCTACATACTATTACTCATTTGTTGCACCTCATCTTAAACATTGCCTTGAGCAATGTTTTGGGTGACAGGAATTAAATTAATTTCAGTAAAATGCCCAGTGGAGAAATTAAATAAACAATTACTAATGTTGTGATGTTACTGTCTCCAAATAATTGTCAAATATCTCATTCTAATACTAGTGTGGTGTCTGAACGGTTGCTCTGTCATAATGGGAGGATCTGAACTGTAGCACTCGACTTGAGTGAATTGATCTGCATAAACCAACAAAACAGTTAAAATAGTTCAAAGTTATATTAGCTGATACTTAATTCCGATTCTGGTACTGAGCCACCTAAGTGTGATCCCACAGCTTTTAACAGCCAAAATGGCTGGAGAGGGAGTTAATATTTAATATCAGAAAAAAAGAATATCCAGGGTTCCATCAATATCCAGCAGCCCTCTGGAAAGTACAAATGTGTGGCATTTGCTGAGGACAGAATGGGGCTGAGCTCTGATTTCCAGCCATGGTTGAAGAGCCTGCTGACACTTCAACAATCCCCCAGATAAATTAGCCATTCACTTCATGGCTGTTTGTGGGACATTCCTGTACACAAATTGGATGCCTTACTTGCTTAAAAACATACAGCTACTACATAACACAGTAAAATCTTGTGAAGTGCTTTGAGACAGCTCGACAACATGACAAGGCGCATATATCAAATGCAATGAACATTATTGCTCAGGCTCTTCACATGAAGAACAATGACGGGACAGAGGTTTTGGTTAGTAACAACTACAGTTGTTGAACAATGGATTTACACCTCAGTAATACGTCATCACATTCAAAAAGAGAAGGGCAGGTATTAATCATATTCTCCCCCAATCTACTTTATCCAAAAGGATAGTGGTGGGGAAGAGATGCAAGTTATACTGTATGTAACGCATACTGTATATGAAAATCCTCACCACAAAGATATTTATTGTAGATCGATTACTTTTTTAAAGTGTGTTTCCTCGATTTTGTTCCAAAAAGAACAGCCTGTACACTTAAAATGATAAGACTGAATTATAACTATCCACCTCTCCCATGCTGCTTCTCTGTCTATCAGTCTATTATAGTTGGGCCACATTGCACTCATTTCATTTTAGGCTGTGGTAAAATCTCTTTCCTTTCTTCTGGGTTATTTATATCTTTAATTCTGTGAGATGAGCTTTGCTCAATCTAAAGATATCATAGGATAATAAGGATGATGCAGAAGCATATGAAGCTCGTAGAAAGTCACGAGATTTGATGATTAATTAGCCCTAAATATCGCATTGGCTCCTATTGTATTGAAAGGAGATTTAATAAGATTTTTCACATTTCAGTTCAAATGCAGAAAGCAGGATGCATTCAGGTATAGCTGTTAGACTGAACTGCTTTAAGATCTGTGCTGCTGCAGTAATGAGAGTGAGTGAAACTGAATGTGATTTACAAACTGAATTTGGCTCAAAATTGTACTTAGCGCGACTGATCATCATTGATTACATAACAGAGCAAAAAAAACCTTAATCTTAATGCCTCTAATTGTTTCTTAATAAGGTGGAAGGAAATATACATTTTATAAAATTACAGATATTTATAGAAACCAGATCCTAACTAAACTTTGCTCAGGTTTTCCAGTCAATTATTCTGTCCTAAACTTAGCAAAATGTAGCTGAATAAATAACCAATGAATAACTTCGGATTCAAGGCTCAGTATTTTACAGTATGTTTAGTTTCCAAAATAACCTTTGTTTTGTACAAGAAATAATATAAATGGGTCCATTTTATTTCTTCAAAAATAAAATATTAAAGAAGGATGATAAATTCTCCTTACAAGTTATTCTGCAACAGAGCGAAAAACTGACAATTTGTTTTTATAAGTCCATATTCACAGAAGCAGATATTAAACAGGTTAAAAATAAAATTGCAGCACTTCTTCAAACTTTAGATATTAATGAGATAACATTTCAGAATGTTTTTTCACATTAAATTCACTTCTTGGATTCAGATTTGTATATAAAATAAAATATATTTGAGCCTGATTTAGTGTAATGAATACTGTTATTTCTAGAAGTTATCAGGTAAATAGCCTAATAGTATTTAATTACGTCTCACAAGGCAACTAATAGTCAGAACAAGTTTATTCAATGGCCAGTCCTTCTGAAATTTGTTTTTTTAGTAAATAATAGGTTTATAATTCAAACCCAAATAAATCTTATGTATACTTTCAAAGAGTAGCACTTTAAAAACGTAGTATAGTTTAAAGATCCTGCAACACTTCGAGGGAAATAAAAGTTTCGCATTAAAAACTTTGTAGACATACACACCGAGCATTTTGCTGAGCTCTGCGTTGTGGAGATCGGGGTTCTGGATCGCAAGTTTCTTCCTCTCGTCCTTTGCCCAGACCATGAAAGCATTCATGGGTCTTCGGATTCGGGGCTCAGTTTTGTTCCTGGCTGGAGATTCGTGAGCGGTGATCCCAGCCCTGGGCTTCCCTTCCCCTGGAGGACAGCCCAGATCCTCCGTCCACGAGTAAGGGCTCATCAGTGCCATCGCTCTAGATCAGATCACTTTTGTCAAAAATAATCCGTGCGACTTTGTGAAATGTAAGAGAGTAGAATTAAATCACAATGGGTGCTGATGCTTTAAGCTTGAGAGATCAAGTCTCAGATCAGGAAGAGAGTCCCAGATTCATTTATTCCCTCAGTGTCAGTCGATGTCAACTTTATCCAATAGCCATGAAGCTGTTTGTAAGAGCAGCTCCTCCCCTGAACTGCTTCTGCAATCAAACAGCTCCGATCTGTGGCAACTAAGTTGAAAACTACAGAGCAGAAAAAGAGGAGTGTTTCTTTTCAACCTTTCATTTAATGATCAAATTATTTTTCCGCCAGAAACTGAAATGGGCTTTGTAGATTCAGTATTAACGCAACAGTGTTGTGCTTTTGCATGTGACTCTATATAGAAGTGAATACTGTAATTTCCTATTTGTGAATGTATTATTTTTGCACAATAAAGGCTATATTTTCCACCCGGAGTTTCCTCTTGAAGGATGTTTTGCTTGCTTGGATATTATTTTCTAATGTTACGCTTTAAAGTTTGCACAAGGTGGCTCTTAAGATGAAATGATGTGTAAGTGGCTTGTCAACTTAGTAACTTTCTCCTGTGTTTGTTTCTTTAAAACAATATTTAGAGTATGCTTACGGGTTACATTGTTATCGAAAGCTATAATTTTATCTAGAAAACAATATTGGGCGAGAGGGAATGATTGCAAGAAACTAAGTTTACGACCGCATTCAAAAAACATGATTATAAACAAGAACAAAAAAGGCTCAAGCAGTTCTTCAGACATCAATATATTTATTTCCATACGCACATATGCTCAATAATATAATTACTGTATTTAAATTCATTAAATTAAGTCAGAACTGTTAGCACTGACAGAAGGTAGTTTTGCTGCAGTGGGAGTCATGGCTGGTAGTGATAAATACGACACTCCATTTATCTAGTGTAATGACATCCTGACTAAACAATAACTAGGATTCAATCTGAAATACATGGCTGGGAAATAACATTGATCTCTTGAATAAATATTTGTTTTTTAACAGAACCAGTTATTTAACAGGGCCAATGGAATGCAAGAAGATGCATTGTCATACATACAGTTTCATATAAGGGGTTGACTTGGTGAATTCGGGAATGTGTTAAGCCATCTTTATCAAGTCTATATTACTCAGCATAGCTCTGAACAACAACAATAATAATAATAATCCTTGCATTTGATATAGTGCCTTATCACGTCTTCGAGATGTCTCAAAGCGCTTCACAGAATATACTGTAAAGTAAAATTTCTCCTACCTCCCCATTTGCTCATTTACTAATTATCTTAAATTGAAAAGCCCTCTAATTACTGATACACTCTAACAAGTCAACAGCGATAGATAGGTTTCTCTACAGCCCTCTTTAGTACAGAAATAGTTACAAATTCCCATCACTAGTTGAGGTTTTCGAACACTGAAGGTGGTAACAGTGACAAGGATCGTAGCATGAAACAGTTTAAAAAATTCCCACATGTCTACCAGATTTGCAGCTACCTTTGTCTCGGAATAGATCATGTGTGTTTGCCCAGCTATGTAGATGAGTATTTGCAATTGTAAACATTTTGTAATCTTTATGAAATAGATGAGTAGTCAACATCATGATCAGTCGACACTGAAAAATCATTGATTTGGTTCTCTTGTACTCAAGCTTAGCCTGGACAGCGGGCAGTTTTATCTGTAACTGTCCTTATTGATGTATAATGTAAGCTGCAACTTATCTTTCAAATGGGGAATTAAGTGGAGAATTAACAATTCTGTTGAAAGTGATGCGGTTAACAAACAAATTAAGGTAAGACTCAAAGTGGACAAGTCTTCTTATCTCAGAGATTAGCAATGAGATTTTGTACCATGGCCTCGTGAATTTGCCCTCTAAGGAATGAATCCAATCTAGTGATTCATCAGATAGGCCCAAAGAAGGCATCTTCCAAAAATTGTGGGGTTATTCTGGAGCCCATTAACAGAATTACTGTCCCATCGTCCTATCAATCTGCTGTAATAACTCCTATTCCGGACTATGACATGAAGATTGTCACAAATCAGCCAGTTTGTTCCAAAGCCAAATTGGAAGCAGGTTTATAATTGAGATGTTGCAACAACCTCACATTGATTATAGTATCAATTGGTTTTCAGATGCCTGACAGTAATATATCGGTAAGAGTTTGGGAATCTTAATTTGAAATTTTTTCTACTAAGCATGATGCTTGTTGCTTTCTATTCTAATGTGATTGTGCCTATTTGACATTCAATATGATAAATATTGAATGTACCACTAAACATGTTGTAATACTTGACTAATGAACCGTGTTTTCGATGCTACACTATAAATAATTCCACAGAAGAATGGCTTCCATGTTAATGAACACTGGAAAGTTTCCCATTGGTTGTCCAGCTAGGACCACCCTATGTGGTAGGCCTTTTGCTAGCAGGGTTAACAGGTGTTGAGTGGTTTGCTCTCTATGTCGTGCTGATGAGTAAGGTTCGCTGGGATCATCAACAGTGCCTTAGAATACTATGGAAATGCATGGTTCAGGAATTGGACTAGCAAAACCGTCACAGAAAATTTACTCCAATTTGATGGTCCATTGCCAGGCGCGTCACCTTGGAGCAACCTCAGCCCAAAGCGACTCTGTTTAATTCTATCCAAGGAGGAGAGTAACAAAAAATACACTGAAGTAGTCACATGGACTGTTTATTACAGTTGTTGGTGCAATACCGAAATATTGTATAAACTACAAATTCTATCTTTCTACATAATCTAGCTCCATAAATTAAAATACATTTCACTGCATCAGTCAGGTAGGATGGGATGTGGAATCTGAACCAAACTCAGCTCTAGATTACTCTGGATAACATGGTCCTAAAATAATAAAAATAAATTAATGTATGAAATAACATAAAGAAACTTTAACGACTGTGATTTCTGAATGTAAATACTTTGACTTGTACTGTATAGGAGTATTTCCAATACAAGTTACAGTTGAGAGATGGGGTAATAAACTAGATCTAAGCATTTTCAGAAGTTGTCCAGATTGTTTTATACTGTTATGTCAGAATTGAGGGATGAGAAATCTACTGTGCACTCCTAGAGACCCAGACAAGAATTGCACAACTATATATAGAAAGGAAAGACTTCTTTGTTTCTTTAAGAAAAACGTATGCCTTACCAAACTGTGTAGTTATTTATGTTTATTTAAATTTACACATTTCCTAGACTGGTCCTGCTATTTTAAAGCTCTTTCTCTTTTGATCTCAATTCGAAATAAGGCATTACAAATTTAGGCAAATAATATTATTGATGTGGAACATCTTTGCAGATTTTCTGAAGGGCATTGAGTGTTCAAAGGGTTAAAATAATTCTGTGAGAAAATCAGCACAATCTCATGATAAATAGTGCTGTGAAATATGACGTCATCATGATTAATGCAGGTGAAGCAGCCGGTGAGACAGTAGATGTGCAGTGTGTGCCAACAAACCATACATTTTCATAACCGGCTTAGAAAAGAGGAAATGAAAAACACATTTTTTATCACAGTTGAACTACTCTCTGAATACCTTTTAAATATGTAACTTTATAGATTTCCATTCAGGGGCAGTTTAGTGGAATCCATCTGTTTAAAGAGTAACAGAAATCAGCAATAGGTGGCGCTACATGGTGACCGAAGGATCACAAGTGTCACAGTGCACTAGAGAGCCCAATATGGCCACTGTGTCCCACTGTGTGTGTGAAAACAATGTGGATACGAGAGCATTAAAATACAATGCACAGTACTGACAAAAACGTTTTACCACAGGGTTACTATAGTACTACATTGTACAAGCCCTTCCTTTCCTCTCTCCCTTTCTTAGGTCTCCCCAGAGTGCCAACCTCTTTCTCTCCTCCACTCACAACATGGGTCTCTCTTTTGCTGTCTCTTTTGTCTGATTCTCTCTGATTAACTTAATGTTTCTGGCTCTGTATCGCTCTCTCTCGCTCTCTCTCTCTAATTGCTCATAGACAAGCAATGGGAAGCTTGCTGAAAAATGTTCTCGAAACTTCAGCCCGACTTTACGTCTGGCATACGAATCATGCATATCCAGAATGTGGATATCCAGCACCTGTATGCCACTGGTTGACTTTAGCCATGATTTTCACTATTGATGGCTGTCCTACAACCCATTTGCAAGGTCTAAGTGTATGGCTGCCAGATTAGGATAAGATCAGCACTGTCTATTGATGCTTTCCCTACCCCACCCCCCCACCCCCCACCCCCACACCCCCAATAGTTGAATAATCAGCCAGCCCTGACTCTCAATACTTACAACAACAAAAACTTGCATTTATATAGCACGCTTCATGCCAGACGGGCCCTCGGAGCACTTACTCATGATTAATGACTATTTGAGTAAAGTTTCTAAAATCAGGCTAAAAACCTTTCTTTTTGACTAAGCCTTCAACCACCTCCCTCCAAATCCCACCTCCCCCATTTCTCACCATGCTTGGGCTTCTACTTTGTCTCAGTGAAGTGCTTGAAGACGATTTGCTATGTGAAATACCTTGTATAAGTGCAATCCATCCATCATTACACTTAAAGCCAAGAAGAATTTTAGCCATTAGATGTTTGCTCTTCTGAAGTCTAGAAGTTATTACAAATTTAAATAGATACCATATCAATATAAACAGTCTATGAATAAGCCCTCAAAATTGAAAGAATATTTTCAGAATAGACCGGATTACATGTGTATATATATATTATATATGGCCTATTCTGAACATTTTATTTTGTTTTATTACTCAGTAAAGATAGCAAAAGAACGTTCTGGCCCACCAAGTTGGACTTCAATGTCCTCACATCATGAAACTTTGCTTCTTATTGTTGGCAATACACAAAATGAAAATAACAAGCAAGCATTTTAAAGGAACTGGATAAAAAGGAAACATTATTTTGTCCCTTGTTTAAAATTGGTATGTATTTTGCTGCATTCTGTTCAAGTTCTCCCTTAGGTATCATTGTGTGGCCAGGGTGGGCAGGCATCCTGCTGTCAGCTCTCTGTCAAAGCTATCCTTCAACTAGGCGTTGGAGATACATGAGAAACTCTGATTTCCTCTTGTGTCCTGTTGTGAAGAGAATAGCCTCTACTCAGTGACTCTGTCAGACAGCTCAAGCC